CTGTTTCCACAACCTGAGAGGAAAAGGTTCAATATGGAGGTAGATAGACAATCTGTGTGTAAATGTGTAATCTGTTAGTATAAAACATCTTCCACAAATACAAAAAATACATTTGTAAAATCACAAAAATATCTGGCAAATATAAAATGGATCTGCAAATACACAGATTCCACAAATAAAATCATATCTGTGAATACATTCAGTTAATTTAATAATAAATGAAAATCATTTGTGAATATCTTCCTAACATTTGCAACTTTCAAGCAGGCATTTGTGAATCAGTTTTTCATTTGTGAAGTGAAAAAACATTTGTGGATCTCAGTTCTTCGTTTGTGGATTTTCGTTTTACACACACACAGTTTTGAGACAAGCTTTCCACCAGCCTGAAGGAAAATTGACTTGTATTGCTTGACCAGAGAACACGTGAATGCTTGCAGACGACACCATTTCCACTTTTCAAAGTAAGGGCAAGCTGTCTTCTATGGTCTGTTATTTCAGTAACGTGCACTACGGTTGTAAGATATGAAGTTACAGGACCTGGTTAAGGTCTTTGATAGTATGGCTGTTGGTGATGACATTTGTTTTGTTAAGAAATGAGTCAAACAGCATCTGAAACACCCACCTCCCTCAGTGATTGGTCAGCTGTATGCAGGTGAGAAAGTAGGCGGGGTTTGAACTTCTCTCTTCACACAAACTGTTTCTGTCACTTTTCACGTGAACAACTGAGGTCAACTCTATGAATGTCTTCCAGGAGAGACTGTCTGAACATGGACAAGTTATCTCCATATTTAAATCATATCTCGCCCCTCTCTATGATGGCCGGAGGTTTACCTCCATCTTCCAGTGTGGACGTTCACAACAGACAGAAACATTTTGATTTCAGACATGGTCAAACAACACATCGTACAAACTAGTTCTTTTCTAGAATAAGCTGAGTCTTACTATCAGTTACAGCTTACATGTGATCAGCCGATGGACATTGTCCTTTAAAGTGAATGATGACATCTTTTGACCTGTCGCTCTTTAAAGACAGACAGCTGGGTTCACGAGAGTGTGGTCTCTGCTGCTGGATCCTGAAACAAAAACACATCTGATAAATGTGCATGTTGAACAAAAACTGATCTTTTAATAAACACAACAACTAACTTTTAGTGTGAAACAAGTTTCTGACTGTTTTAAATTCTGACCCTCCGTCAACAGATTGGCTGAAATTCTCAGGATAACCCATGGACTAGTCACTCTTCATGGACACACAGCTGGATCCCGGTCCAGGTCCAGGTCCAGCAGACTGTGGCTTTTGCTGCTGCTTTGGGCTTCAACACAACACACACAAAGCTTTGAGTGTAAATAATGATGGAGCAGTGATCTGAGTGCTGAGCTCTGATGTGGAGAAGAGTCATGGACAGTTAGAGATGTTCATCTCACCTCTGAGGTCTGGTCTGGCTCTCATGTTCCCCACACAGAGTGGTTTTAGAGGGCGGGGCTCCCTCCTCTCTGTGCTCACACTGATGCATGCTGCTGAATCCACATCCACATCAGCTCACATACACTTTTCACCTTCATCTGCAGAGGAAACACACATCATTCACCTGCACATCAACTGAAATGTACATCATTTCTCCTGTAAAAAATATCAGCTGCTCCTCCATGATTGGCCCTGTGTCATATCAGTGTCAGTTAAATGCAGTCAGACAGACATGTGAGGCAGAGGAAGCCTGCTGCAGTTTCAGGACTGCAACTTCAGGACCCTCCTTTTTTCACACCAGCGCCACCTAGGAAATAGGAGTACTGGAAATTGATTTCAGGACCACAGTTTTAGGACTGTATTTCTCTTGGTGTTATATTTGCAGTGGGACTTTCTGAGCACAGACAGATTTTTCGCAAACACACAAATTAAATTTTGAAGAGAAAATGTCTTTGAGCAAAGAATAACTGAACCTGAGGGGGATGTTCCTGCTAAAAAGAAAAAAAAAGGAAAAAAAAGAAAGAAGAATAATTGAACTCCCTCCTTAGATTTAGATTTAACATTTAGACTTAAGATTTAATTTTTCACATATACACATTGTTAACAAATAACATGATGTTTTACATGAATTTCTGTCTCAAATGAGAGGAAAGGAAAGTGAGCTAACTATTCAAAATATATCAGCTAAAAAATTGTAACCAAACCTTTCCATTCGGCACCTCATATCCTTGCTTCCTCTCCTAGTTCACAGGTTGTCCTTTCCTGTCACCTTGTTCTCTTGCTCATTTTCCCTCATAGCTCACACAGTGCACCAAAAATGAAGCAAAGTGTTTTGCATCAGGACTGACTGCTCCGCAAGTTGCCGGGCAACCTATAAATGGCTATTTTCCCAGTACAGTACTAATAGAGCTCCATTGATTTGCCGATCCAGTCAGGCTGCAGCCCCATAAGCTGCCCCCCCAGTCTTTTTATTCTACAGGTTCTACAGTCAGTCAGTCAGTCAGTCAGTCAGTCAGTGAATACTAGTTCTAGTTCTACTAGTTCTCAAGAACTTTGACTCCAGTAAAGTATTCCAGTTCAAGAGGCTCTATACTCTGACTGAAGTGATGGAGCTGTGGACTTTGTCCACCTCTGTTAAACTCAATAAGAATATCTTTACTTGACAAACAGCAGACATCTTGCCGCCCATGTTTTTGCTGAAAACGAACATTTGACCAATGAGAGTGAAAAATTTCACCTTGAACATCTTGATGCCTTGGGTCAATAGTTCAGGCTTTAGTCGACCACAAGCCAACAAGCTTCATCCCAACCCTATATCTCATAGACTCCTTCAGTTCAGGCTGGCTATTCATTTTTTCTCTCGTTCTTGTTTGATAATCCCTGTTACTTCTCTTTCGCTCCTCCACTGACAACTTTTCTCTGGCCATTCTAGCCTGAAATGTATACCATTCTGCAATCAATATACTTCAATCAAACATAGAGCTGTCCAGCATTTGGCTCAACACATAAAACTGTACAATAAAAATATGAGATGCATGAGAAGAAATACCATTGACGTAAGCTATATTAACACACTTTAGTGGCATTTGTCAACACCGTCAGACACAAATTCTGATGATGTTGACATCTGACGGAGGTGACAAAATACCATATCTTCTCTTATTACACAGGAGCCATCTTGTATATCATCAGATACTTGTGACAGCTACAATCTACTTAAATTCAGCCTTTATTAGATAAGATTTCACATAAAATCTTGTATTTAATTTACTATGGTGTCGACACTCTGTGATTGTGACATGCAAGTTATTAACAAATAAATATGAAATGAAAATAACATTGAAAACTTGCCAAAGTGCCAAGCTAAAGTGGTCTCATGGCACGAGGAAGAACAAGGAAGAGGTAAAAGGGTCCTCAGAGTTTAAACTGCCCACAACAATTCCTGATTTTTGTTTTGTTTTTCAAATGACAGTTAACAGAAACTCATGAAGTTCAATCAACTAGAAAGTCCATTAAAATCTTTTTTTAGATTGTAATTTTGATACAATATGTATATTTATGATTATATTTATTTATTTATCTATTTACTCAACTACTTACACATAGTAACTATTATGTTTAATTTTACAATTCTTTTTTTAAGCTATTGTAACATAATGAGACCTGCTTCAGGACAGGGTTTTTTTCAGGCACTGGTCAGATATAATATAATTTAGCACAAACAAACATGAAATGATATTTTGCTATGCTAACATTGTCCTGGTTAGTCTTCTGGTTATACTGTATTTAGGAAAAATATTATGTCCCCTTGTTTTTACTCAAAAACTGTGTTTTATTGGGCAGACATGTTTTGTCCCAGATCTCAAGAATCACTGAACTACAAACCAACCAATAAGAATAAGGTCACAAATTATACTTTATACTTAGAAATCTGACAGATGTCAATACACACCTTAAGCTAGGAAGTGAGTGTTAGCATTAGCCTACCGTTAACATGCAGGTTCATTAAATCACATATGACTGCACATAAAACTAATCAAATCACACAAGACCTTGTTCCTGTTCCAACAAGGCGCTTAATTATGAAATAATGAAGACCTTTTATTTGAAAGGTCTCATAACTGTCCTTTGTCTGTGGCCCACTCATGTACAGTATAACCACTGAGAACTTCAAAATAAAAGACCCATAACATAAAAAAATAGAACTAACAAAATAAAAGCTTGCGGTAAGTGGTAACCTTATTAAGCTGCCACTAAACAAACACATGTGGCTGTGGGGGCTTCAGGCCCTCTGTCCCAGTTATTTAGTCCTAATCAATGAGTGAGCCAGCTGATCTTTTCTCTGGATAGAGATAACAACAAAAAAGAAAACTCTTAGTGGATAACTTACCAACTTTCATGGTTCTAGGACAGGAACCTTTAATTCCTGAAAGCAAACTTGATAGAACATTATTATAATTAGGAAAATTATAATTAGAGGAGAAAAAATATTAAATTAAAGAGATTACATATAACATTTAAAATGATATGTTTTGCCTTGAAGGCAATATGAGGTTTACATGAGGTTAACAGATATGCAACTTGTAGAATGATACAAGTCAAAATACAATTTGTACAAACTAAAATGATTAAAAAAAAGGGAACACATTTACACATTTTATTGAAAGAGTCTGGAGCAGAGTTGAGGCCATCAGAAGGGAGGGGGCTCTGACATATGTCTCATCTTCATATTCTTATGTCTGTATTTCCATGTAGGCTGAAGGAGAACTCTAGAGACTAAACCAAAGTCCAGGACCCTCATAGCAGTTGCTTGTTGATTTACTGGAGCAGAGATGAATAATGAAAAATTAAACAAAGTAGTTTTTAATTGTTTTAACATCTTTGCAGTCATCAACAGAGGCTGTGTCTCTAGCATATTATCTAGAGCACAAAAATAACAAGGAAACTTTAACTGCATAAATTTCAAATAGAACATTTCTGTCACACACCTGAACCTACCTTCAACAGCAAACAGGGTGACAAAACGAGGCACTGAGAGATTTAATACTGGAATTTATTACAGCTGTTTCAACCTGGAATCCAAGTTCAAACAAACACCTGAAATTGAAACAGTTTGGGCATTTTCATGCTTCAACAGGATTACTGATCATCATTAGTGCTACTGTGTCTTTATACCAGGGGTAACTTTTTCACTCTGAGAGCTTCTCATGTCTTATATCACTGGTCAAATGTATTCACATACCATATCAAAACAGACTGGGGCGGGCGGGGCCGCTGTTGTGTTCTGAGCTGCTTAGCTGCCCTCACGTCCTCATTTTTATGTTTCCAATCAAATCGAGTTCATTTATAAAGCACATTTAAAACATCCAGGGTTGGCAAAAGTGCTGTACAATGATATACAACCAAAAACAGCTCAAATGTGATGCATTAACTATCTCATTTATACATTAATGCATATTGTTCTGCATATTGTTATTTTGTCATATTATGAATTGTTTACACATAAAACAGGTTTCTGAGAAGCAAATTAACTCTAATGATCATAGAACTAGTAGGCAATATGCATGTATTAGAATGATAAACCCTAACATGATTATTGATCATTACCAATATTTTATTTTGATATCCATCAGTATCAAAGTTATTTTTTAATGGTTTAACAGTTTCTATACTGTGCATCAATTCAAACTGACACACTGAAGTGTACTTTTTACCGGCAATACACAGTCACACATTTAGTTAGTGAAAAACATTTAGACTTTATATAAAATACATAACATTACTATATCATCATTCTCAGAAATAATCATTATGGCATTGGAAAGTGTGATATGATAATGACAATTGGTCAGACTGTTATCTGGATGCTGCAAGTTTACAGTTTAAATTTTTGCAATCATCAATGTCATCTCCAAAATGCAGAGAAGTGATTGTACTGCTGAAGATGGGTGTAATTTCCCTTTAACGACAAAACACAATGACATATGAAGGCAAAAGAAAGAGAGTGTGGCCTCTGCTGGCTGCTACATTTTCTGGATCATGACCTGGAATTTACCTACAGACACAAGAGCACAAAGATAAGAGAGTTAGAGTGTGAATAAAGTGTGTTAGTCCACACTTATTTTCAAAAAAATATGTTTCCCATGTTTTCCAATTCTAATTTTTCCACCCCAACTTAAAGACAGGGCAGAATAGGATCATTGAGATCTGTGTCTAAATACAGCAGCACCAACTCTAGCCTAAATAATGACCCAGGTTTCACAAAGGCAGTGCAGGGTTGCATGTTGGGTTCATACAGTGTGTCTGTGGTCAGACTGTGCTCTTGTTCAAATGTCCTCTTAGGTTTGAAGGCTTCGTCCTGTTATTAAAAGGTAACCTGTCAAATCATTGACCTCTTAGACAGCTGGTTTCTATGTACTGCTCCCAGTTTTGTTTGTCCCATGCATGCAGACACACATGAACACCCATGAACACCCATGTGCACATGGACAATGCGATTCCCATTCCTCTCAATGGTTTCACACTATTCCACTGATCTACATTTGCCGGTAAAAAGCCAAGATACACAGTATTGCAGCAAAGAAGGCAGGAAGTCAGTTACTGACTGAGTCAGTAATGAGGAAGACAGAGTTGAAAACTGTCGTGGAAGTGCTGTGAACAAGTGTCAACTGGTCTCAGTCTGGTATCAGCTGGTTTCAGCGTACTGTCAAGTTTTAGTCTAGTGTCAGCTCGTTTCAGTCTAGTCAGCTGGTTCCAGTCTAGTGTCAGCTGGTTCTAGTCTAGTGTTAGCTGGTTTCAGTCTAGTGTCAGCTGGTTTCAGTCTAGTGTCAACTGGTCTCAGTCTGGTATCAGCTGGATTCAGTGTACTGTCACCTGGTTTTAGTCTAGTGTCAGCTACTTTCAGTTTAGTATCAGCTGGTTTTAGTCTAGTGTCAGCTGGTTTCAGTCTGGTGTCAGCTGGTTTCAGTCTAGTGTCAGCTGGTTTTAGTCTGATGTTAATTGGTTTCAGGTGGTTTGAGTCTAGTGTCAGCTGGTTGCAGTCTGGTATCAGCTGCTTTCAGAGTAGTGTCAGCTGGTTTCAGTTTAGTAATCTGCATATGTGTAAAGAAGTGTCATCTGCATATATCTGCAGATATATGTTATGACACTGTCAAGGGAGATCATTAACATAAAGGTTAAACAATAATGGACTGAACACTGACCCCTGTGGAACTGTACACTTCAGGAAACTGGACTGTGCATCACAGACCCGGACACACTGCATTCTGTTTGGTAAATACGAAGACGAGAGTCTCCAGAGTCACATCATGATTGACTTTAATCTAAAAATACAGTACCAACCACTCCTCCTTTATGAAGCCTGGATTTCATGTGCTCTTTTCTATGCAAGGTAGAAGTTTCAGTGGAATGTTTTGTTCTAGACAGAAAGAGAGTATGAGAGCGAGAGAGAGCGGGGTGAAGAGGGGTTGAAAGAACCATTGCTCTGCTCACAGTTCTACAGTGAAATCAGGTTTTATCCATTTGAAATAGTGAAATATTTTGGTTCATTATAAACTGTGTTCAGACTAATCAGATTGTGTCAGAGGATGTCAGTAGAGTAGTTGGTCCTTCAATGTGGCCCAGGACGCATTTGTGTTCACACTGCTAAAAGAATGTGGACACATGTGGACCAGACCAACTCCGAATATGGTCTGAGTGATCAGATCTAAAATGCATCCTCAATGTGTCTCAGGTGCGTTCACACCTGAACTTAGAGCTGTCCACTTGTGATCAGATCACCTAAAACGGATGTTAATACAAGGTCTGAACAGGTCTGGTCTGAACAGGTCTGAACAGGTCTGGACAGGTCTGGTATGAACAGGTCTGGACAGGTCTGGTATGAACAGGTCTGAATAGGTCTGGTATGAACAGGTTTTAACAGGGCCGAAAATCAAAAAAGAAATTCTGCTGATGAATGATGACAGAGAGATGTGGATGAAATCGCTTGAAAAAAAAGCAAGTACAAAAGTTAAAATGTTTTTTCAAATGACTCTTTTCAAGAACAAGAATACATTTTGTGAGAATGTCTCTGAATGATAGACAAGTGATGTGTATCTTACACGCAGGCATGACGGACACCTCAGCAGTCACAATACTCTTCACTCCCAGGTTGGACAGAGCTCCTCTCACCAAACCACAGGTGAAGGACAGGTACTGCAGAAAGACAAAGAGCCATGTCACATGATGAGGAGAGTAATCCTAACACAGTCCATCGTTGTGTATTTGTGTGTTTGTTGTGGGTGCAGTGTGCTGTTAGTCAGAACTCTGTTAAAGTGAAATGTCGGGTCATTTACAGAGTACAGACAGTGTTTGTGTGCATCTGTCAATGTGTGTGTGTGTGTGTAGGTAGAAACAGCTTAAGGGGTGTGTGTGTGAAAAGGAGAATCTTGTATTTGTACTCTTCACTGAGATCAAAGAGAGTGTTAATTAAGCAATATCACACTGTAGTAGCTACGACTGAATCACAGCTAAGTGTGACATTTTTATTTAATAGTTGTCCGAGCGCCATATTAGTTTACAGTAATAAGAAACAACAGATTATGATTTGTTTGTTATTTCATCATTGATTTGGCTACACCAACACAAATAGTTCCGCAGCTGGATTGGTTCTGCACTGTTGCAACATAAAACATTTTCCCAACCTGCACACTAGGTGCTAGCTAGCTAGAGCTAGATAGCTAGATACTTTATTCATCCCCTAGGGAAAGTTCAAATGTCCAGCAGCTCATTAGTAATAATAATAATGACAGTTAATTATAAACAATAATAATTAAATGAGTCCACTTCCTTTGGCTGAGGTGTTTTATAGCCTGATGGCAGTGGAAACAAACAATCTCCTGAACCTCTCTGTTCTGCAGCGCAGTGAGATGAGACGTTTGCTGCTGTAGCTGCTTCTCTGTCCTGCCAAAATGGTGTGGAGAGGATGGTTGGGATTGTCCAAGATGGCCTCCATCTTACATTGCATGCGTCTCTCCACAACAGTCCTGAGTGAGTCTTGCCAAGCACAGACCCAGCCTTTTTGACCAGCTTCAGTCTCCAGTCTCCTTGTGTGTACACTGGCCACCACTGACTGATAAAACATGTGGAGCACTTCACTGCAGATGTCAAAGGACCTGAGCTTCCTGAGGAAAAAGAGCCGGCTCTGCCCCTTCCAGTAGATGGCATCTGTGTTCAGGGACCAGTCCAGTTTACTGTCCAGGTGCGCACCTAGGTATTTATAAGTGTGCACCACCTCAATGTCCTTCCCTTGAATGTTGACTGGCTGAAGGGTGGGCCTAGACCTCTGAAAGTCCATGACCATCTCCATGGTCTTGAAGGTGTTCAGAAAGAGGCAGTTCTTGTCTCTCCATACACTGAAGGCCAACGTCAGATCCCTGTACTCCTTTTCCTGCACGTTCCTGATACACACCACAATGGCTGTGTCAATTGAGTATTTCTGGATGTGGCAAGACTCAGAGTTGTATTTAAAGTCGGCCGTATACAGGGTGAACAGGAATGGCGCCGGAACAGTCCCCTGTGGAGCCCCAGTGCTGCTCATCACTGTCCCTGAGACACAGTTACCCAGCCTGACGTACTATGGTCCAGGATGTGAAGCAGGGATCCACCCCCATTCCTCTCTGGTGTTGTTGTGCTGCAGCTTCTTCTCTACTTTCTTTTTGTAGTCCTCCTTCGCCTGCTTTAATCTCCTCTTCAACTCATGTTGCACACCTTTGTCTACATGTTACTTCAGTATGTAAATGTATCTGTATGTTTCCATTTATGGTGAAACCAGTGAGATAAGAGTCTGGTGACACTGGCTTTGATGGGTTAACAGCTGATAAGATGCTGCTCCATCGTTGCTGCACTCAGTGGACGCTCTGCAGTAAATTCTTAGCAAGCTTTTAGACCTGACTCTGATTAACAGTAAAAAGAACACCTGTGATACATTTAGTTAAAAGTCCCAGTGCTGTTATACTCTAAATCAGCAATATCAGCTGTGTGCAGCTGGAAAACACACAGCTCACACACACCTGAGTGAGAGTTTGGCTCAGCGCATTTAATAAAGAACCGTAATCTTCACACATCCAGCGCTACAATACCTTCCTGCACATGTCTGTGCAGTGTGGTGTCCCTAGAGTCAAAAATGTGGAAAACTGAACATGTTTCAGAAGAGGGTTTTTTCAGTTTTTCTGTTAAATTCGCTCTTAATTTGTATTGCAATCTACAGCGCTGTTGAGGGGTTCTCATGTTGCTCAGGGGCAGCCTGTTGAAAAACCATATGTCCTATTGTTTAAAGAATCACACTGCGTGAAACTACACAGATTTTCCTACATTCTGGGGAAAAATGATGGGTGAAAAGCTAAATGTGTGGCCGTGAGGACAAGTTAAACAGACCACTTCAACACCTTATTCTCACTCTGTGTGATGTCACTCTCCTCTGCACAACCATTTTTAAAATCTAAAACTATAAGAAAAAAAGCAGAAAACTTAAACTGAGATAAATCAAAAACTGTACAAGATACCAAAAAGCTGAACACAAGTCTAACAGCTGAAAGTCTCTGGATCCATTTAATGCTGAAATTAAGTCTCCAGTTGAAAGTATGCTGATGTAGTTGAAGTTCAAAGATTTGAACATTTCCTCCGTTCATTTAAGTGGCAAAATTTTTCGGAAAAAGCTGAATATTTAAAAAATTACTAAAAAAGAAAAGTAATAGCAGAAATGTTCTTGAAAAGATGAACGTTTTGATAGTTGAGTAGTGAGAGTAGTTGGTGGGCGAAAAGCGTATAGAAGCAAAAACATGGTCATTGAGAGGAACAAAAAAAAAATCATCATTAATGTGTTTAGAAGAAGCTAAATTCATTCTCATATCAAATTAATTCTTTAGTTTCATTAAACGGCTGAAATTTGTTTTGTTACTGAGGTGAAATAACAACAGTGCATGTTAATAACCAACAGAGGTCTTCATTCTCCTCCAAACTAAATAAAAAGGTTCTGTTGGGACTCAGGACCTCTTTGTTTTGTTCCAAGGACTGGGTAACATTAACTGACTGAGCCTAACTGACTGAGCCTAACGTCTCCTAGCACAGCTATCAGCACACTTAAGCAGCAGAAGTCTTAACTTCATTAATGTACATGTTGGTTAATGTCTTGTTGTTGAAATGTTTGCTTAGGTTGTGGTCAGCCATACAGTTAATTGAGTACTTGTATGTTAACACATATACCTGTAATATGTCTCAGTTCTTGAAACCTCCTTCTAACCTGGTACCTTTAGATTACATGAGCTAGGCTAACAAAGAAACTCACACCTTCCCTCCCCCACACACCAGGTGGTCTCAGCGGCCATTTTGAATCGGCCATCTTGCCACCTGTATATACTAGATTAGACATTGTATTTTTACTCTGTTCCATTGTAAATAAATATCTTTAAGTATAACTACTGGTGTGTTTAATGTTGCACAAGTGTGAATATTGCCAACCTCTACTCAGCAGCATTCCAATCCTTTAACTTTAACTTACTGTTGATATAGTGATTTGGTTATAGTTATTAAGGTAATTATTAATCTGAGTTTCAGATTAATTTGAGACTGAAACAATATTGGCTATTTTGCCTTTTAGTTTAGGCTGGTGCCCCCAAGGACTTTAATTCACTTTAAAGTTATTATTTGATATTATTATTTTAATATCAATATTTTCTAAATTCATGACAGGGTTGATAAATTAAATAAAATAAATATGATAAATTGATAGACAACCAAAGGTCCAACATTTATGGTGTCCTGCTCGTGAGGCAGAGCTCAGACCCAACAGTTCAATAAGGGATTTCATAAATGGATTAGGAACTGGATTCTTATTCACTAAAATGTTATTAAACCCCATCCCTACTGAGTCTGGAGACATGTGAAGGCCTGCTGGTTTAGGATCAGCTACCTACAGCGGCCCTGAGAGCTTAACATACTGCAACTTAAGAAAACACAAATTGCAAATAGACAAAACACAAACAAAGAAAACATCTTCATCAGTTTGACAACATCCTGCAAATACTCACAACACAATAAAAGTGTTTCCAGGGGACGCTAAAAAGTGATGAACCAGCTGGGACATACTTGCATGGATGTATTAATACATCCATGTGCACCTGTTCTTCTTTTAACTTCAAAAGTCACAAAGCATTGAACAAGTTGGTTCATCACTTTCTCTAGACAAATTGAATTGAATTGTCTATTTGGTTGTGTTGTGAGTATTTGCAGCTCATGTGTTGTCAAACTGATGAAGATGTTTTTGGATGTTGTTTGTGTTGTGTGTATTTGCATGTGTTTTCTTAAGTCACAGAGTGTTGGGCCCTCAGGCCCACCGTAGCTGCTTCAGAGCTTTATAGAACAAATCACTACAGAGTCACATAATCTGATGAAATTAAGGCAGAGTACCTTTGGGGCATGTTCCAGGTGCTGTTTACCAGCTGACAGCTGACTCAGCAGTCGGAACTTGTTGTCCTGGAGAACATAGATGCCCTGAAACACATGACAGACATTAGAACAGCACACAGCAGGATGGATGCTGATAGAGGACTAGACAAAGATAAGAACTGGGATGATATTTATGTACCATGAAATGTATTACATTATATTACATAAATGAATGATTTGAGTTTGTCAGAATTCTGTTAGCATGTTCTGTTAACCATCAGCTCAGTGTTACCTGGTGATTAGTTCGAAGGTTGTCTATCTGCTTCTTGAACACACAGGTCCAGAAGTCCTTACAGATGAACTTCATGATGTCCAGCTCGTCTTTGAACCGTGAAGTGTCTTTAGTCAGTCTGCAGAAAAGGAAAAGGCCAGGAGCTTTAAATCAAAGCATTATTGCCACAAAGGAATGAGACTTGATTCAAAGTCATGTCAGATAACAGGTGATGTTACACTGCTGGTGGAAGATACAGAGACCAGCAGACGGACTCTGAGGCAGCTGAGTGAGTCTCGAGTAAACTGGCAGGTCCACAGACCTGGACCAGCAAAGAAAAACTTGTGAGTGTCTGCAGCAGTGGGACGGTGTGTGTGTGTGTGCGTGTGTGTGTGTGGGACCGAGTCTGAATAAATTATGGTGTGTTAGTTCACGGTGATGAAGGAACACGTCGTCCAATGACACAGAGACTCACTGATGTGTTTTCAACAGTGACAGAATGTAACTACATGTTGTCCTGCATCATATTGCCTCTTCTATTCATCTACCCACAATATCTAGAAAATAACTTCAGGTGGCTCCAGTTTGACAAACTACGACAATAACAACCTGACCTGCATAACACATTTAAAAAAACATTTTGAATTTGACAGGCTAATAATTTTTAGCATTTTACTTTACTACTGGTTGGTGACAGATTTGGGACAAACACTGGAACTCTGTGCCACAGAGGAAAAGGATACATCAGACTGTGGATAAACACACCATTGTTAGGATTCATTGTTGTCTTGACTCTGCACTTAAAAAGATAATACTCAACTAATCCTTTAAATATTAGAAATTATACTGGGAGGAACGGGTTCTCTGATGTGGTATTGTGCATGATGATTTATAAATAATAATAAATATGCTGATATTGTGACTGTCCATCTGCTCCTGTTATTCCCTTTAAAAGTGAAAGAAATCCTTCTAAATATATAGATGACTCCTCCAGGACATTGAGTCATGTCTTGAACAGTACTGTTTAATATAGAAGGTTTTCTTAATGATCACATAGTGAGACTACAGCCTGAGTCGCAGCAGACTGTCAGCAGCAGCTTGTTAGTTACCTCTCTATTAGTCCTTGGCCGACTCTGAAGCCCATATTCTCCAGTTTGGTGATATTTCTTCCATTTTCCTGAAAGAATGACAGAAGAACTAGTGAACAAACAGAACTAACGAGCACTGGCTGTTCATGTCATGAAGCCGCCGTGGAGCACCTCCTGACAGACACTTTCTCACCGTCTCTCCTTTCTCAGCGGACTTGGAAATGTACTGTATCACTTCGTTATGTAGAAACTGGAACGGAGCTTCGTCTGCCATTCTTCTTCCTCTGACAACAGCGGGTCCACCGATTCACTTACACCGGGGGCGACACCATCAGCACACACTGACGGATAAAACACAGAAACAGCCTCATCTGAACACTATATGAACCTTTCTGTCGCTTCCGTGTTGTTTTTGTTTACCAGCGGAGGGAGGGCTGAGCAGAGAGAGCACTGTTGGTACTCTACCGCCACCAGCTGGCGAGGAGGTCGAACTTTACGGAAGAGGATGAGGGCCACGTGAATTTTCCTCTTTTTTTCTACAGAATTTTGACTTAAATGTCAGAATTAAAAAAAAAAGAAAAAAAAGTCAGAATTCTAAATCCAGCCACAATCATTAGCGCACGCTGTAGAATTAGTTAATTATCAGATATATAATATTATACATATAAAAAAAAAACATTATGCATTACTTGACAAGATGACCACAGTACGTCAGGCTGGGTAACTGCACAGGAATACAGGGATCTTACGATGGTCTTCAGTGAATGGAGCAACAAGAACTGCCTCCTTCTGAATACCTCCAAGACCAAGGAGATGGTCATGGACTTTCTGGAGGTCTAGGCCCACCCTTCAGCCAGTCAACATTCGAGGCAAGGACATTGAGGTGGTGCACACTTATAAATACCTAGGTGTGCACCTGGACAGTAAACTGGACTGGTCCCTGAACACGGATGCCATCTACCTGAAGGGGCAGAGCCGGCTCTTTTTCCTCAGGAAGCTCAGGTCATTTGACGTCTGCAGTGAAATGCTGCACTTGTTTTATCAGTCAGTGGTGGCCAGTGTAAAACAAGCTAGTAAAAAAGGCTGGGTCTGTGCTTGGCAGTAGTCTTGACTCACTCAGGACTGTTGTGAAGAGACACATGCAATGTAAGATGGAGGCCATCTTGGACAATACCAACCATCCTCTCCACAACATTCTGGCAGGACAGAGAAGCAACTACAGCTGCAGCAAACGTCTCATCTCACTGTGCTGCAGAACAGAGAGGTTCAGGAGATCGTTTGTTCCCACTGCCATCAGGCTATACAACACCTCCAAAGGAAGTGGACTCATTTAATTATTATTTTTTTATTATTAATTGTCATTATTATTATTACTAATGAGCTGCTGGACATTTGAACTTCCCGTAGGGGATGAATAAAGTATCTATCTATCTATCTATCTATCTATCTATCTATCTATCTATCTATCTATCTATCTATCTATCTATCTATCTATCTATCTAATATAGAATATCACCAGACTGATACTTTAAAGACATCTGTGTGATAGTTTTTTGTGTCACTGTCTCTGTATCACTAATCACGTGACAACACTGTGCGGTAATAATATACAGTGACATTTAAACTTCTTACATAGATTATTGTTGTGTGGGAGAGGGAAAGAGGATGTTAACGACCAATTTTCACTTTGTTATTGTGAAAGTCAACGTCATAGATCTAACAAAGTGTAGGAAGATGTTCTCTGTTCAGCAGGAAGAGGGTTTCTGTGTGATGACGTGTTTGACCTGTGACCTACTGACTGAATGGAGCTACCAGTTCATGAATGGGTAAAATCAGGCAGAAGACAGGACAGCCACAAATGTTGGTTTAATTTATTTTACACTTAACTTTAATTAAAACTCAGGAATGTGAACAAACCACATTTACGTAACAAACAGCACAACCACGTTTAACAAGCCATTTGAAAATAACAGAAAATACAAATGTCAACAAATGTTTTCAGTTCTTCATTAGCACTTCACATGGATATGATCCAGCAACTCAGTGCTGCCACCTGCTGGTGTTCAGTGATCCTCTGGACAGTGATGGGAGTAGGATGTGAGCCACTTGACAGGACAGTCCCTGAAAACACACACAGTTCGTGTGACAGGCAAACACACACAAGTCAGATAACAGATAAGACAACAAGTAGGACAAGTCAGAAAACAAGTCAGACCACAAGTCAGACAAGCCAGAAAACAAGTCAGAGATGTCAGACTGCAAGTCAGACTGCAGGTCCACCACAAATCAGAAAACAGGTCAGACAATAAGTCAGAAAACAACACACACACACACACACACACACACACACACACACACACACACACACACACAGACACACACAGACACATACACACTGACTGTACTTTCACTTCACTCTTTATTTTTATCAACAGATATTTGATACTGAATTATAGTATGCTAAATCTAAAATGGAACTGAATTTCAAATTTCTTCTTTATCTCTGCTATACCTTCCCTACCTCCTCCTTTCCTTCTTTATCCCCTCATTCACTTTCTACTTCCTCTTCTCCTTTCCTTTGGCTGAAGGAACAGACCTGATCCACATTCAAACCTTCCTAGTGTTTGTTGTGAGGATGTTTGTACCTGTGATACTTCTGTCCTTTCCTCCTCTGGTACTCGGTTTCATCCACTGTCCACACAGCTCCCTTTCCTCCCTCCACTCGTACAAAGCACTTGTGTAGGCTGAGGTTGTGACGCACTGCATTCTGGGTAGGAGAGGAAAGTTCTGTTGTCATAGAAGGTAAAAGGTGTTCTCTTCTGATAGAAACCACATTACTTTTTTCGTTGTTGTTTTTGGTATGTTAAATTGTCTGTAATATGACCATCATTTAAATACATTACTAGGCGACAGGACAATGGCGTGTAACAGCGTTTAAGTCACATGGGAGATACTCTGATGACCAGTTTCTGCCCTGTCTCACACACACACAGAAACTGAGTTGTCAGGTAATGTTAATGCTTGCAAATCATTAACAAGGAGTTTTTCCCACATCTACCATCCATTCTAACCCTTCAGCTGATCAGCGCTCACCTCTCTGTAGTGAGAGCCTAATAATCAGTGAGTGCCACTTTGTTTCCATTCACTCCTTCAGTCTGACCCATTCATGTTGGATGAGTTTTGTTTTGTTTTGTCCAATCAACAGCAAATTACGTATCTGTCCCAACATTTTTGGTGGAGACAGAAGCTGTGGCAGCAGTGGTCGATTGTTCGTGTTGTTATTTATGTAAGTGGATATACAACAACCTGTACAGCTTCAAACATCGCATCTGTGCTCATCTCCATTTTCCTGCTGCTATTTCTAATGGCTGGAGATACAACAGGTATAGCTAACTAGCTAACTATCTATGTAGCATGATTACAACTTCATTCTTCATCCGTATCTACAAAGCTGTGATTGATCAGTTGTTTCTCTAACAGCCATCAATGAGTACTACACAGAATCCCTTCCTCCATGTTGTCCTCTGCAGAACAACTGTCCTTCAATCAGCACGACTGTCCACAAAGTCAACAAAGTCAAAGCAACGATGCTGACTAACATTTCACCAAATTGGAACATGTGAAAATGTGAGATGTTAACATAAGCAAATAAAATGGACTTAATGTACAGTGAACTGTTTCTGTCATTGTTCCAATGTGATTAAGAGAACATGTGTCACATGTACAGTGTTCATACTGTAGATGATTTAGTCATCATTCTCCAGCAGTGTAATACATATTTTTTCATCAGGAATCAGAGTGAATGTGTATTTGAGGTAAGTCAAACCTTCCAGGTGGCAGTGTTGTGTCTGAAGTAGAAGAACATGGTGGTAAACCAGGTGTAAATCTCATTCAGAGTGCGCTGTTTGTCTGGAGACTCCAAGATAGACTGCAACAAGTCAACAAGAAAAAAGGTCAAACAACCAGTCAGAAAACAAGTCAGAAAAAAAGTCACACCACAAGTCAGACAAGTCAGAAAAAAAGTCAGACAAGTCAGGCAACAAGTGAGACAGCAAGTCAGACAACAAGGCAGACAATAAGTCAGACAGCAAGTCAGAGAACAAGTCAGAAAACAAATCTGACAAGTCAGACCACAAGTCAGATAACAGATAAGACAACAAGTAGGACAAGTCAGAAAACAAGTCAGACCACAAGTCAGACAAGCCAGAAAACAAGTCAGAGATGTCAGACTGCAAGTCAGACTGCAGGTCCACCACAAATCAGAAAACAGGTCAGACAATAAGTCAGAAAACAACACACACACACACACACACACACACACACACACACACACACACACACAATCATTCATTGTCAAAATACAACAATCATAACAGACCATCTTTACAGATAAGTGGATGGATCTTATATAAGCCACCCCTAAATGAGACTCACCCATCTGATCAAGTAGGCGTAGGTGTACGGAGGCCTGATGTTGTTGTATTTGTAACACTCGATGCTGGGGACCAAATCTGTACAACAATAGCCTTTCATCAAACACATAGGACTCAGTTGATCCTCTGCCACAGTGTGGCAGTGGGTGTGATCAAATGTTCACGAGAAGCAGCAAAATGTTCATTTGTATAAACATCAGATCACAGATGAGCAGTTCCAGTGTAACCACTGAGATGACAAATTATCATAAAACTGATAAAATTACTGGTTTTAATAAAAACCTTTTCTCTGTAATCTAATAGTTTCTATTTGTCATTTTTCATCTATTGAAAATGTCACATTTCGGTGCAGCTTTGTGGTTGGATGAAGTTTAATCAGTGAAATGAATCAATTAATGTGATTTCCTAATATGATTATGTAATTCAGTTAAGTTAAACGCTACAGTCAGCAGGTGCCTTCACACAGAGAGTGGAGTTGATTGTGTTGTTGCTCTAATATTTTGTGTTACCTGGCAGAAGGTTGGCAGAAGAAGGAGCTGTGTAGCCATGCTGGGACAACTCCTCTGCATGTCTAATGCACCATTGCTGCACTCTGTCTCCATCTGACACCTGAGGCTGTGGCAGGAACAGAGGAAGGGTGTATGGCCACTGGGAAACAGCCTTCTGCACACAATGATGAGGTGGTCCTTAACCCCACAGTTTCATTTGCTTTCTTTAAATCTGAAACACTAAATGATTTAATCAAGCTGAGAGAAAAAGTGAGAGCAGAGACATACCAGATCACTGTGTTTGTGCTGGGACAGGTGGAGGTGAAGTTGCATTGCAATGAGTTTCTGTTTTTCCAGGATGAGCTGAAAAAAGAGACGTGAATTTAAAAGCTGTGATCTCACGACTCGAGACCAAGAGTTTGTTAGTCCTTAGTCCTTAGGAGGAGGTTCACCTGATGTGGTCTGTGCCCTAAACTAATGCTGCCCAGATTATCTTCAGTCAGACAGAATTCACTTCCTGTCTGGGAGTGAGATGTTCAAATGGATCTCTAGAGCGGTGCATGGACATTAAAATGTCTATCCCAAATGTTACTATCCCCTCTACACCTGTCAGTGTTGTGTTTGTCTACCAGAAGTTTACCACACATTGTTAACATCTTGGATCTTGGTTTTTAACTGTATATTTGAACCAGGTGATTTTAGTCATCGAACGTCTGGATCTTAAGTTATCAGAGAAACACTGATTTTTAATTGAAACTGCTTTATTCAGTGTTACTGGTTATAACCATCTGGTCAGCGGAGACCTCAGTGTATAATTCAGCTCCTGGTAAAAAAAACAAAACAAACCCTGAACAACTGACACTGGAGGAATCCTGTCTTTTGTAATTGTTGAGTCCTGAAATGGCAGAAAAAGTCACATACTCTGCATTTCAGTACAAAGCTAAAGAGAAAGGCCAGCACACCTCAACCCCTGACCTCATGTATTGTTAAAATTTTTCTGTGACATGTAAAATGCTCAGGGCCTGTTTATATTTGAGCATTTCTTCCATGTAGCAGCTATCTGGTATAGATACGTAGTTATGGTTAAAGTCAGGCAACTAAATCTTAGTATGAGGCAGGATGAGCTAACCACCACCCACCATGCTGACCTTCACACCCTGACTTTACAGTCTGAACCTCTCAGTATTTTCTGCAGTCACTAATGCAGAGTAGTTACATGAATAAACATCATCACACATTATTTTAAATTGTATAAACTACACAAATCTGTATAAACACAGCAGTCAGTGCTGCTCCTGTCATTTCTCTATTTATATTCATTTGGAATTCAGACCAAATACAACCCTGCATTAAAGAAACTGCACTGGTGGGGGAGGGTCAGTTCCCGTACCACTGACACGATGAAACAGTTTAGGAAGTCGAGCTGAAGTCACACTAACATGACCTTTACAGTGTGGTTGAAGACCTTCCAGGTCTTTCTAATTCCCACCTGACTCTCCATGCACTGAACAATGTCCTGCTGGACCCTCCACTGAGCAATGCTCCTGTCACCATGACTGTGTTCAGAGTGGAGATGCCTACAAAACAAAAAAGGACAAGGTTATACAGGCAATAACAAATCAACAGCCTTGATCCTGATCCCGACCAGATATCTGCCATGTTTTTCACTTTGCTCCCACCTGCTCACAGGACACAGGTCCCCTCTGAAATAATGCTTCGGTATTTATACTCAAGTGAAAGATAAACACTCTTTTACTCCTGCTCAGGGATTTAAGAAGAAAAACTGATTGACTGAGAGAGATCCTCAGTGACTGCAGGAACAGGGCCCATCAGGCCCACAGTTTCTGTTTGATCCTAACAATAATAACAACAACAACAACAACAACAATAATAATAATAATAATAATAATAATAATAATACAAACTGTAGAAATTTGTTTCCACCTTCCTCCAAATTTTTCCCCCTGATTTATATATTAATACATTATAAATAAATTAATTGCTGTACATTTCCCACAATTATTCCCACACATTTGAATATCTCACATATAAAAGTTTAAAGTTTAAAAAAATGATGAGTCTACAGTTCATTCAGAAAGTCTTCACGTTTTTATGTTGCAGTTTTATGCTAAAATCCGGGGAGAAACTTCCAGAAGGACCAGTTCTAATATTTTCTAATATTTCCTCTAGACTATTAGAACTGAGACCAAACAGTTCAGTCCTGGTTTTATCAGACCAAAGAATCTGGTTTCCCTCATTCTCAGAGTCCTATCATGTCCCAGTCAGCTGAGTTTACCACAGGCAGACTCCAGTCAAGGTGTAGATATATCTCAGAGATGATCCAGAGAAATGGAGGAACCCAAGCTACATTTAAAGAGTCATAATAAACTGTCTGAATACTTGTGTCAATGTGAAATATCAGTTTTTACTTTTCAATACATTTGAAAAACTAGAATCACCTTCTTGTGGTTGTCTGCCTCCTTCACTCAGACTAGTTTTACGGTTATATCCCTGTTTATCCAGTCATAGAAAATATGAACCTGTCTTATTTTTTTAGCTGCATCCACTCACTAACGTTATGAGTCTAGATTGAAGAGGAGAGCAGGGGATAAAGGAGTTTGGTGCTTTCATGCCCAGTGCTGACACTGCAGATGTGGAGCACTGATGAACATCAATCATGATATTGGAATTGATGCAGAGGTCGTTCTGTAAGAGTTTGATGTAACGTTCAGACAGAATGAACTTCATATTGGCAGGAACACTATTTCATTGAATTGTCTCATGAGGTTTATTGATTGTTTATTGCAGCAGCTTGGTTTGGTCTTGATGCTGAGTCTTGTTATTACTGTCTTTAGTAATTAGGTAGACAACTGTTCTTATGATGATGATGCTAACTGAGGAAATCTGTTGCTTCATGTCGACTTTTATTGCACGATTCTCTGGGATATTCAATATAGTATATAATAGTATATTGTAGCTTGTTATTTAGCTGCTGTTGTTTTGTCTCTCTCTCTCTCTCTCTCTCTTTCTCTCTTTTTGCTCTTTTTGTTGTCGTGGTCACAGACTCTCTATACCTTGCTACACTTGCATTTGAGTCTGATTCATTTTTCAAAAGAGAGACAAAACTCACAATAAACAAAATTAAATATGAATTTGACTGATTCATTTTTTTTTTTTTTTTTTTCAAAGGGGAAAAACTTAAGTAAAGTCCAAGTACCTCAAAATTTTTCTTAAGTACAGTACTTAGAGTAAATTATTTACTTTCCACCACTCAAGGTACTTGTCAAATAGAGTAGGTCTAGACCATCTCTTTATAATATTAT